TTTCTGAATTTTGCCTTTATTTGCTTTCCTTTCTTTTTTTTTTTACTTCTTTTAGGGCCACGCTCGCCGGCCACAAGCGAGGGCAACCTTGCTGAGCGGCGATTGGTCTCAAGGAAACTAAAAAGGAAAAAAGAAAAGAAAAAATTAAAAAATTAAAAAGATTTGTAAAAATGGTCCACGTCAGCCCCAATTGTATTTCGTAAGACGGACGGCGTCCACGCCATCAATTTCCGGCCAAAATTGGCCTGAATGATTAAATTGAAATATTGTCAAGAGATTTATGACTAAATTGAGACAATTGAAAAGTTTATTACTGAATTAGCTGCCATATAGTAAGTTTGAGACTTTTCAAACGATTTTCCTGAGTCTGAGAGGGATGTCCGCCAACTCGCTAGGGGTGATCGGTTCCCGGTTCGGTCTGGTCCAATGGAACCGGCCACTATTTCCACGGACGAACGTCGCTCACATCGATACAGCAAAGCATCCTCACAAACAGCATTGTAGCTTCTTCATGCTTACCCTTTTCCATATAACCGTCAATCAAGACAGACGAAGAAGTGAAGTCCCCCTGGAGCATTCCCTCAAACAATTTGTGGGCACTAACCAATACCCGGTTAAGCAGATGCAAACCGGGCCTCAATCCGCTAAGCCTGACGTGTTTATCGAGCTCAAGTGCTCCGGCAGAGTCACTATTTGCCGTGCGCTCTTTGATCAACGAAACGTAAATATCGGGTGAAACAGTCACGCCGAGGCAAATCCCACGAGCGCAAAATGTCCGGGGTCGCACTCGAGCGTTGTTTTTCTTTTCTTCTGATCAGAATCTTACGACCTTCGGAGGCGGAATGAGGGTGAATCGGGGAAGGATTAATTTGTGGGGTTGAAGTTTGGAGTTCGAGAGGGCGGGTGCGAAGCTTTTTGGGGCTGCAAAGAGGAAGATGGATAGGAGTGGGGGGCTCAACGGAGGATGATATTTGCTGACGCACATGTCGTGAATGAAATAAAAATAAAAATAAAAAAAAGTATATGTAGTCGGTCCAATCTATCCGGTCCTATCGGTCCGGTTCCCTTTGGAACCGAGAATTGGACCGCCCGGACACCGGTTCCACTTTTAGGAACCGGAAACTGGACCCAACCGTCCGGGTTCGGTCCGGTCTGGGCAATTCCCAATTCGGATAGTCCGTTTTGCACACCCCAACAACTCGCTTCCACTTTCTTCTCTTCTCTTGATTTATCAAATCCCCATGGAATAACGACACACGCACGTCCTTTCCTAAAAAGCATAATCAATCCCATCCCCACGGAACACCGCCACTTTCACGGGCCTCGCGACACCGCATCACACCGCATTCGTCGCAGACAAGTACGAAAACGTCGTAACGTCGCCACGAAATTCGCAAGTGCGATACGGTCGTAAGTAAACCACACGGCAACAAAAAAATCCGACGACAATCGGCCGGAGAGGATCGAACCGTGCACTCCCTTACAAGATGTGTAAGGCTACATTTCGATTGGAAATATCCGAATGCACTAGGGTCACCGTCGTGCCTGTGGACCCTGTCAACTTTTCTCAGCAAAGATCATGCGCAAAGTGACCATATCTTCGGTGGACCCTTTGGCTCTCTTCACACGAGGGAATCGTCGTCAATACAAGACGAAATCCTCAATTACTCCATTATGAAGACACCAATGTCGCGAGTAATGGGCTAACTCCAAAGCTATGTACGATATGGTGATACTTGAAATTGATAAGAACACCTTATAACTCGACCATGGAAATTATCTCCGTCCACTTCACCCGAAGAATAAGCCTCTTTGTTCGATCTTTCTGTCTTTAGATGCTGGGACGGCAGAGGAAGTTCGACTATCTTTTTCCGTTTTTTCCGGCGGAGGAAGTTCGCGGTTAGCTGGTGCTCCGAGATGAGTTGGGTGGACGACGACGTGATGCTTTGAAAGTGTCGAACACTTTTTTCGATGGGTGGGGTTTGGCGGAATGACCGGTTTCACACGTTAATTTACTCGAAGCACTTCGATTGTGGACGCTAATAAATCGAAAATCTCTTGGTTCGAAGATTTTGTGGGCCGGTTCGAATTTCAGAAATTACGAACTTTTGGGGTTCTCTTTCTTTTCGAAATTGTGATTTGTTGTCCTCTTAGACATCCCGTTTTTCTCCTTAATCCTTGGTAATCACCGTCTATCTGACCGAAGGTGATCAGACCACGTTGATTTGATACATAAGTCTCTCATGTACACCTTTCGATTCAAAGAATACAATGGCGAAAATACAAAGCGTTGACTATACCCAGCATCCCTCATCGTGTTTTACTTCGTCCAACGTGGGGTTTGAACGAGTCTTGCATACATACAATCTGACTTTACCTAGTGCTTCAGACTTCTTCAATCAGACTTTTCGACATCCTCGTTGAGTTATGAATAGTACTCTTACCATGACTTGAGATATTCTTTTAAACAAATCTGATGAGAAACGAGGCTTACGGTATCTAATTCGTCGTTGGATTTGACTTAAACTTTCGACTGAAGGTGAGTTTAACCCGCTTGGACGTATTGAACTTTCTTCACACTCGCTAATAGATAGATGTATTGGATTGAACAGAACAGGACATCACGGACTGGTCTTGTTCTTTTTAAAGGTCTAGCGGGTCTCCGTCTAGCGGGTTAATTCGCGTTAGCGACTTAGTCTGCCGGAGCAAGCTCCCCTCTGTCATCCCAAGCACGGGAGGCTACTAGACCTGCCTACCCGGAGATAGTCGTCTTTGCAGCCAACATGGAGTCTATATTCTCCACCCAGAGGCCCCCCTATTCCGGCTTATCTTTGTCTTCCCAATCTAAGGAAATACTGCCTTTTAAGGTCATGCTTAGAACCTCAACGAGTCTTGCATACATACAATCTGACTTTACCTAATGCTTCAAACTTCTTCAATTAGACTTTTCGACATCCTCGTTGAGCTTATGAATGATACTCTTACCATGACTTGAGATATTCTTTTAAACAAATCTGATGAGAAACGAGGCTTACAGTATCTAATTCGTCGTTGGATTTGACTTAAACTTTCGACTGAAGGTGAGTTTAACCCTCTCGGACGTATTGAACTTTCTTCACACTCGCTAACAGATAGATGTATTGGATTGAATAGAACGGGACATCAACGGATTGGTCTTGTTCTTTTTAAAGGGGGAGTCTAGTGTAAATTCAATGATTCTTATGAAATATGATTGGTCCGATTTACTAGGAAGAGTTTTAGACACTCTTGCTTCATTTATTTCGCGAAAAAGGATTGATTTGGAAAGCTTTTTCCTAAAAATGATCGCTTAAAATAATTAGTCAATGGTCTTATAAACATTTTTGTTGACAATGAAAATGTTTTTCGTTCGTTCCTTTTTGTAAGTGATAAAAACGATCGTTTTTTAAGAAAATGTTTTCCTAATAATTCATTTTCCGACGTTAGTTCGCTTAGGAAACTAACGCAGGAAAATGAGTTAACGGAAAACCTATTCTTAAATTCTGGAAAATGATTTATTTCTTTGAAAAATCGGATAACATTTTCCAAAGTATGATTAGGTATTGGCGCTTGAACCCGAAACAATACGCTTAGGCACGAAAACCCCAATGCTGATTCCCGAGTCCCCAATGTTCAGGACCAAGTTAGGGGCGCCTAGTTCTAGATCCATCGAGTCCGAGCCTAAGACCGGCAAGGTGCCCCAACGCCCACACCCAAATCCATTAAGCTAGGCCTGAAGCCCTAGTGCCCATGCCTGTGCCATGGGTCCTGGCACCTAAGCCTGGGTCCGTAAATGTCGTGCTTGGGTCCTCGATGCTCGAGCTTTGATCCCCGGCACTCGGGCTTGGGCCCACAAAGGCCGAGCGCTGGTCCTCGACTTGGGCTCGGGTCTTTGAATTTACTCCAATGCTCCCTGCCTGCGCCACTCTCTTTGTCACCCGCCAGCACCAACGCTGCCGTCTCCGCACCCCAAGGACCCTCTCTCTCCTCTACAACCACGTCCCTCAACACCTCGCCTTCTCACCACTCAAGCTCTTGTGCACAGGCTCTCGCCTGCCGACCCTCCCGCCCACAACTCCATCCTTATAACCGGCGGCTCTCCCTCTAACTTCAACCTCGACGGCTGCCCTCTCCTCGAGCCCAACCTCTTCTCCTCCGACGCGCTCGCCATGCGCGGCGTTGCTGGGATCATCGACTACTCAATCTCGGCTTAAGGAAATCATGGGCCACTGTTCATTTTATCCATCAATTTTTGCTGTTCTTTATTTGAGTTATCTGTTTTTCACTCATTTATTTTTTGGGATAACAATACTAACAGTCCTTGAACTTTGGCACAATATGTAATTTGGTCCCTGAACTTTTAATTTGTTCAATTGGATTCCTGGACTTTAGCCTAATGTCCAATGTGGTCCCTGAACTTTTAATTTGTTCAATATGGTCCCTAGACTTTTGGTGCATATTCAATATAATCCCTAAAGTACATAAAAATGTTCAATATAGTCCCTGAACTTGAATTAATGGAAGGTTTACATTAAAAAATTTCATATTATTCAGGGACTAAATTAAACATATACCGAAAATTTAGAGATGACATTAAATAAATTAAAAGTTCATGAACTACATTAAATATGAAGTTAAAATTTAGGAAATATATTATACATTAAGCTAAAATTCAGGAACCGTCGGTGTCATTTTCCCAAATTTCTTTCATTTCCATTGAGAGAAGAGAAAGAGTAGCGGGAGCAAAGCAGAGCAGTGCAGAAAGTCAGACGTGGACGTGGGGGTCCGAAGTCCTCGGTATCTTTTCACCGAGGGAGGTTTTCCTTCATGATAACCCTAGGAGACCGGGACAAGCAAGTCGTCTGGTTTCTTTGGCAAAATTTGTGGTGCAAACCGCGCCGTCACCCTTCCGCTAGCTTGATCATATTCCTTTTCACAACTATAAAACACGTCTTGAACCCTCATCGGATCAGATTCATCGGAGTCGCTTCAAAACACATCTCTCTCTCTCTCTCTCTCACACACAAGACAGAACGATGTCGCAACCGGTCAGCCAGATGCCGCAATCGGCGGCGATAATCGGACCCCAGTACTGCGTTCCGCAGGTGGTGGACCTCGCGATCGTGAGGAAAGTGATGTCCCTGACGGACGGCAGCTTCGTCGTCACCGACGTCAACGACAACATCCTCTTCAAGGTCAAAGGGCGCCTCTTCAGCATCCACGACCGCCGTGTCCTGATCGACGCCGCCGGGAACCCGCTCGTGACTCTGACCGAGAAGGTTTGACATACTTTGCTTGTCGCTTTGGACTTCATTCTTTCGCAGCATTTGTGGGTCGAACCTCTTATGCCAGTATCGGTAGGCATACAACATCTGCACAGCAGAATTGCACGCGGACGACCCGCCTCATCTTTGGACGATGTGGTCCTTCGACGTTTATCTTCATGCCCATGGTTTCGTTTGCAGATCATGAGCGCGCACGATAGATGGCAAGCTTTCAGAGGAGAGAGCACGGACCCGAAAGATCTGATGTTCACGGTGAAGCGCTCTTCGATGATCCAGTTGAAGACTAAACTCCATGTGTTCCTGTCCACCAACACCACCAACGAGCACGTCTGCGATTTCAGGATCGAAGGGAGCTGGTTCGAACGATCCTGCGTCGTTTACGCCGGAGAATCCAACAACGTAGTTGCCCAAGTATGTCGTTGATCAAATTTACCACTCGGCAATATAGTTTGTATCGTTATTTTAACATAGTTTTGACTCTTTCAAGATCTTGTTGCTTTGTTAGCCGGCCAGATAAACACGGAGTGATTGGTAAGCCAGATCCAGTCTTGACGAACTTATCGGAGTCTTGAGCATGACTTGTTTCATTTGATATTGCAGATGCACAAGAAGCACTCTGTCCAGAGTGTCTTGCTCGGGAAGGACAAATTCATGGTGACAGTGTACCCGAATGTCGACTATGCATTCGTCACGGCGCTCATCGTGATCCTGGACGGAATCAACAAGGAGGACCAAGACGAGGGTTGATCCTAAGCCCTTGTCGGCCTTCTTTTGGGAGGTCACGTTATATAGGGGTGTGCCTGTAATGGAATAATTCGAGATGTTGGTCGAATCCAATCTCATGATCGCATTGTTCCGATCACGCAATAATCGGAGGATCCGTGAGCTGTAAGATGCATTGCTAATGATAAATTGTTGTGCGCCTATGTGACCATGATGATGTTAAAATGAATTATCAATATAGAAATGGTTCAGATATCAAAATTCAAAATTCATCATTCAGAAACATGCTCTATTTCGTTAGAATTTGCTGAATTGGCAACAAAAAGAACCTTAATATAGATTCACGTTCGACCTTAAATCTCTGCAAACAAGTATGCTTTACTTTAAAAAGACATCTTGAAGTTCAAAAGATGGAAAGCAAAGAAGGATAAATATGAAATTACAACTGAGAGCAAACATCCTTATTGCATCCCGAATGCGACACCAATGTGTTAGAACCGCACGATTCGCTATCCGATAGATCAAGAAACTGCTCAGAGCACAAGTTCCTCAAAAGGAGAGGGCTTGAAGACCATCACTCGATCCATTTTCTCTTGCGACATTCAAACAGAAAAAGAAAGAAAAATGAACGATCGGTCTCTGATGATGGCCTCCGAGACAACCTATCCTCCGTTAGCAAACCCGGTGGCTGTCGTGAGCCGGAAATTTTGTATGCCTTATGTGGTCGATCTTGTCATTGTGAGGAAACTCGTCGCCATCACCGAAGGCCGCTTTTTGGTCACAGATGTTAATGGCAACGTCGTGTTCAGAGTCAAGGGTTCCTTCGTTAGCGCCCACGAACACCTTGTCTTGAACGACGCCGCGAGCAATGCCGTCGTTTCCCTCCAACAGAAGGTTGATTAATCACTGAAGTTTAGCTCCTGCTGGACTTTTTTCCTTCATAAATAATGTTTTTGGTTGACGTTCATGTTCGTTTATTTATGCAACGCATTGTCCAAGCATCTCATTATTTTACTCCACGATATATACGAATTACAAAATCTCTTCCCAATTGTTTGACACTGAAATTCGTCAGTCCTCTCCCAGAAGATACTTTCCATGTTGTCGAAGCATTTTCATGCTAAAAAGTTTTGACTATATAGTTGATGATCGTCGACTCGGCAATAGATGATGATTTTTCTTTTTTCTTTTTAATTGTTGAATAGTTACAGTTTAGATTGTCTGGTCGATCAGATTTTGACTGCTCATAGGAGATGGCAAGCTTACAGAGGCGATAGCTCCAGCTCCGGCGATTTAATATTCATGGCCAAGAAATCATCGCTAATGCGAACTCATGGGACAGAGCTAGATGTGTTCCTAGCAGCCAACACCAGAGAAGAAACTTGTGACTTCAAGGTCAAAGGGAGCTGGTTGGAACGATCATGCACTATATATGCTGGAAATAGCACTACAGTCATTGCTCAAGTAAGATTGAATTGATTGGGAGCTTTTGTATGGGTCGTGTGATGTACGAAGAATACGCGGCGCTTGCTAACCGTGTTTTGTTTTTCTGTAGATGCATAAGGATCACAAGGCGCAAAGCGTTGTGCTCGGAAAGGACACGTTCGGCATAACGGTGTATCCTAATGTAGATTATGCTCTCATTGTTGCTCTTGTGGTGATCCTTGAAGAGATCAACGAAGACGCATTCGTGGCAAAGCACTCCTTTGCTTGTACTCACCCTTAGCTTTTTGTGTGCCTTCCTTTTATTGACCGGATGCGATTTGCATTTCATCAATTGGTAGAATTCTTTCCACAAGCTTTTAACACTTAGCAGCTATATCACAAAACCGATTGCGCCGCGTCGGTCATGTGAGCGGCGCATCAAATACTTTGCTCCTGTGTATTGGTGCATCAACATCGTTTGATGCTTGGACATACATAAGATATGCAGACATAACAAAGACATTTACCCACGGGCAGAAGCTGAACCTTAAGCCAAGAGGAGACTCAGTATGGCATGGAGTTGCAATAGCCTAAAACCATCTATTTACCCAATTAATTTACGAACGCATTGCCGTCGTAACTACGAATTACAAGAGTTCCCAACCATTACGCCTGCATTTTCGAGCATGACAACCTAACATCAATCACATATCACACATGCACAATTGAGTTGAATTGAACAATTAGTTCATCACTCTTGAGTGACATGCAATTACGAGGTTAAAAGCAAGCAAATATTTGCGTGCTGAGGCAACGAGCATTGACAAGGATGCGGACGATCGGATAAGTTGAACATGTCACTTGGCCATCTATTTACAAGTGCAATCAATACTGATTCAGATAATAGAAAAACCGCATTCTTACGAATGATATATTCTTTGATCTTTCACCTGGTGGACTGTAATCGCATCGAGCTTAGACAATGAGAACGACACAAAAAGGGAGAAAGATGAGTTAAAGCCCCAAATTGACAGGAGCAAACCACCCATTTCATTTTGCAACAACTAAATTAGAATCATCACATTTCATTGCTTTTACAGATTAAACAAGAGAAGAAGATTAATAAGAGAAAAATTGGACACACGAGGAGAGGAGAAGACGAAAAAGGAGAGGGATATTTACAGGCATTTACGGGTATAACCGATTATTTGCCAAAGCCCCCATCATATGCAGGACGCTGACCATCTTTGACACTCCATGAGGCTAAAGAATACGTAGCATGCAACTCCACACCTGACCAGTCTACACGAGAACCGAGATAAGGCGGGATCTTCACAGTGAACCTTCGGGAGACTCTGTACAGAGATGTGACTGTTTGATCATCAATTCACACCGAAAGAGCAGCAGCATCAGTGTGACACATCAACCAAACTCAAAGCACTTGCAGTGCCACCCAAAAGAGAGAGAATGTGCATCTATCTTCCTTGTGAGTTTTCATCAGCATATATCGATACGCAAGCATCAGCAGCTCCAGCAGCAAGTAGCACTTGGTACGGATGGAAAGTCAGGCAGCTCACTGAACCGATCTTCTGGGCCATGAAAGTTGGGTAGTAACGGATGGTGCCGAGTGGTTGACCGTCAAGGCTAAAGACTTTAATGCGCTGTTCAGCTGAGCCACTGGCAATGATTGGAGCATGCCTATGGACAGCTAAAGCAGTAAGACATCCTCTGTGAGCATTTATAGTTAGGTAGGGTGCCCCAGAGTATCTGACATCAAGGAACTGAATCTCTCCAGCCTGTGAGGCACTGACAATCTGAAAATAATTTAAATTAAAGACCATTCAAAATGGCGATGTCTCTCTTTAATTATAGCCACAATCACGTGACACACGACCATCCATCCAATCACCACTGGACAAAAGGAAAGGTAGAACAGTATTAAAAGAGAAAAATGCCCAAATTCATGCGAGGACACAAATCAGCAAATTCACTAGCCTTTTTCTTTTCCGTGCAATCGCAGTATGGCTCTCCTTCCATTGTTGCAGAAAGACCGAAAATAACTTAAGTGTCTTGAATCGCCTTTATTCTTTTTTTTTTTTTTTGGGTCAAAGCCTTTGTTCTAATATAAACATAACTTTTCACATTTCAAATAGCAACTACTTATGCTTCAACAAAAGAAAAGGGATAAGAGAAGAAAAAAACACATATATATGGCTGGCAGAAAGATACTGATGGATAATCTAGTTACCTTTGCTGAGTCAAGTCCCGGTTGAAAGCCAATTCCCACAACCTTTTCTACTTCCTTTGTGTGCGGTCGCATAGCAGAAACGAGCCTAAAAACCAAGCAGGTTATCCCAGGCAATCAAAAGCCCCTAAGAATGCATGATACTTAAACGTCTAAAGAAAGAGGGAGTAAGGAGCTGGTAATGCTGCACACGACCCATTTGCACAGCATGAACATGAAATGAGGGAAAACACGAATTACAGACAGAAAAACCCAAAAATGACTAGACGTGACACGACATGCTAAATGTATATGTTGACACGAATTGACACAAATTTAAATTTGACATGTAGAATCAAATTCAAGACATACTAGACCAATGTGCATTGACACGAATTACAAACACGATTATTAGACACTAACACGAATTGCCAGTCCTAAGATGAATATGACCACACTAGTCAAAGGCAGGTGAGTTTATCAAGTGAAGTGTATCAATACACATCTTAAGGAAGGTTCATGCTCAGAAGCGGTGTGCCAAATTGAGACAAACGTTTGCATCATGCTATAACAACAATACATACATTTCAGGTGCTCGTACATCATAAAGTCTGACCGATCCGTCCACAAATCCTGCAGCATGAAGATCCCCACGCACTTGGGAGGCAGACTGCATATGTAACAGAGTATACATATAAAAAGTTAGAGAAAATATATAAGACGGGGCAAGCGAAACAACGCATAACAAGAGTGTAAAACAGGTATATTCTTACGTAAAACACAAGTATACTGAGTGACAACATCAGCAAAACAAATTTTCAAAGAGAAGTAGCTAACTATACAGAACTCGATGCAAGGATGGCATCACAGACAACATGCCACAATGATCAGGAATGTCAGGAATGAGAGACTGCAGGCAAGATCATATCACATCCATCCACCTCAAATCTTTCCTCTCTCGATAGCAAAATGTTTCCATGCATTGAAGAACAAAGACTACAACGCAAGGACAGAAAAGCAGTACACTTTCAGTCTTAGTATCCATTAAGAAACCTACAGTGACAATTTCCACAAGTAGCCACTTAAGTTTCAAGAAACAAACATAGAGATTTCCAGCATAAAAAGTTTTTTAGGAAAGACTAAAGTGTGCAGGAACTTCAGATAGCATACCCATTAATCAATTGAGGATAAAACAAAAAGTGACGCAATAAATTAAAAGACCAAATGTTACATGTTTGAATTTAACCATTTCCACTCTAATGACGAGTCCCAATGGTGGATACTTGGTCACATCACTACCAAACTGAAGAGTACAGTTTCCGAAAGTTGGGGAGAACAGCAAATCTGGCAAGTATATAGATCCATACATCTTTTACTTCAATAATTAAGTTAGATTATGGACGAGGTAGAACTCACCAGCGCAGAGACACTACATTCTGAAGCAGTTACAATAGAATTGACAAGCTGCTCCTTATCAAGATCCCAGACCGTGATGGATGATATCTCACCCGAAGCATACTGGTGATAAAGACAAAAAGGTGATAAAAGAATATGTCAACATTTGGTAACATAAAGTCAGAAAACCCACCAAGAACATACTACTACGGACATCCTAAGCCAGTACCAGATATCCAGACTGCTGTTGCCAGTCCACCACCGCATTCAAACTCCGAACACCTGGTTTATGTCCTTGAATTGAAGAGAATGCTGTGACAAGCCTTTGCTTGCCTTTCAAGGCATAATCTCTCCATATTCGAATATTTCCATCACCTACACAAAAAAAGATTTTCCTCTCCATTACAATGTAAACTCTTTCCACCCATTATAACCAACTTAAAGAGGATAGTTACATGAAGCGACAAGGAGCAAACTGTCATCGAGCTCATTCAGAAGGCACAGCTTAGATATTCCCTTATCCGGGAGGTCGTGATTATCAAAGCCGTTTAGAAGCGTGGCATCCTCATAATTCCATATCCTGGAAAATGAATTTTTGAAAAGCCTTTAAGATAAGGAAAACACATTTCTTTAGGCATAAATACATAAACTGTCCACATGACGCAGAGTTAGCTAACTTTAATGATCATTTTCAGTATTGAACTTTAAAGGGTATCATCTGCATTATAGAATATTAGGAAATTAAAAAGATATGATGCCTCGAAATGCATTTGAAGAGCTCTTAGGACATCTGCATGGAAATTCCACATATAACAAAAAGTTCAAACCGGTTTGCTGAGCTCCAAAAATACTTTTGAAATGGAATAGCTAATGCAAACCCTGATGAGTGAAATCATAAAACAGAACATGGTATACCTAATGCGTTCATTCTCATCTGCAGCAACTACAACGGGTGAAAATGGTTGCAACAAGGCCGCTTTCGTCCCCGTCTCAAATCTGGTATCCCAGCTAGCAATTTGGTTATTGAGCTTACAGACAGCTGAAAGTCAAGAGAGCAAATGAGAAGAAACTAAAAAAAGGTAAGGGACTCACAATTTATGACAGAAAAGAATAGAAGGAAAATGTTGAAGACTCACAAGAATGTTGGCATTTAGTGATGTGCTCAAGTGCAAATTTCTCCCTCTCTTCCCTTCTAGCTGATATTTCTTCACAATCATCAGCTGCAGTAAGAATTGGCTTGGAGAAGTGGCCACAACTCCAGTTATAAATAGTTGATTGCGGAAGGAAACTGCGCTCTGGACCCCCTGGAGTTCCTCCAGAAGCTAAAACAGCATCAGCTAAGCCAGATTCCGGAGAACTCATCAAATATGGCCTGAACTCCAAAGAGTAAACTCTTCGCATTCCTGCTAAATAACTTGGCCGAGGAGGGCTAACAGGAGGAGTTCTGAATGTTAATGGTAAGTGACCTGCAAATGATAGCTTAATATCAAGGAGGGGATAGCAGATTTAAAGAAAGGAAGACAAACTATCAAACTTGCAACTCAAGATAATATATGCAGCCACACAACAAAAAGTGGGGTCCATTATAAGTAATCAAAAAAGAGAGGAAGCACTTCATTTCTCTTTGTGAAAAGAATAGGAAAGACTTGGAGCTAAGTAGAAATTACCTGTTGTGTGCATGTCGAACCATGAAGAGGACCGCGCTAGACCAGCAAGACTAGGGGTCCCTGCTAGAGTTTCACCAGGC